GATCCGCGCGGACGGAAATCGGAACAACCGAAACACACATCAAAGCCACACTTGGACCCGCGCGAGCTTCCGGGGATCTCACGGGCGGTTACCTCATACGCGTCTGCTCAAGACTTCAAGCCGTCGTTCCGGGCCCAAGAGGAAATCATTGTCGCCCTGGGGACCTGTGCCGTCAAGGCAGGTGGGCTCCAGCACTCCTCTGTTGCGAAGGGAGGGCCATGGCTCCAGGCAGCCCACGGCGTGGGCCCCGGCACCCGAGCGTTGCGAAGGAAGGTCGTTCCAGCAGATCTCTGCCGCCAGGAAGGGTGGGTTCCAGCACCCAATGGGTGCGAGGGTGGCAGCCGGTGCAGCAGCCCGCGGCGTGGGCTCCAGCACCGAACTTTGACGAGGGAGAGTCGCTCCAGCAGAGTATGCCGACGGGGAGGGTGGGCTGTCGCCTGGGAGGGCAGCTGAGGGCGACCCACGCCCCAGCCACGGATCCTCTGACAGACAATCAGAAGCCTCACCGTCAAACTGCTCACCCATTCACCGAGCTGTAGGAAGGCTTCTTTGCGAAGTTCTTGAGCACGGGTTATCTTGGCATCGCTCGGACGTGTGCATTTGCTCCCTTCGAGGACCAGCGAGGAGCATCCTGGATCCCCTTGCGAACAAACACACGCACGACATCGAAGCACGCACCCAACTCCTCGGTCGCAAGTGCGCACCGCCCGCGGCGACGCCAGCATCGAAGCCTGCTCAGCATGGGCAGACTGAGAACGGCTGCGGGTCTGCGCCCCCGTCCTCTCCGCGCAAGGGAATCCCGAAGAGGAGCCCGAGAGGCCAGAGCGTCGTCGTCGTCGTCGTGGTCGTCGTCGTGGTCGTCGTAGTGGTCGTCGTCGTCGTCATCGTCACCGCCGTCGTCGTCGTCGTCGTCGTCGTCGTCGTCGTCGTCGTCGTCGTCGTCGTCGTCGTGGTCGTCGTCGTCGTCGTCGTCGTCGTCGTCGTCGTCGTCGTCGTGGTCGTGGTCGTGGTCGTCGTAGTGGTCGTCGTCGTCGTCCGTACGGGTCGACGTCCGACCGACGCCACGTTCTTCACCGAGGTCGTGGTCGTGGTCGTGGTCGTCGTCGTCGTCGTCGTGGTCGTGGTCGTGGTCGTCGTAGTGGTCGTCGTCGTCGTCCTCCGTGCGGGCCGACGTCCGACCGACGCCGAGTTCTCTTCACCGAGGTCGTGGTCGTGGTCGTGGTCGTCGTCGTCGTCCTCCGTGCGGGCCGACGTCCGACCGACGCCGAGTTCTCTTCACCGAGCGTGCCCCGGCCCGCCCCTCCGCGCCGCTGCCCGGGGCCGCCCCGCGGGGCCGCCCCGCGGGCCGAGGGCGCCTGAGGGGCGCCGAGGCACGCCGACGGTGGATCTCGGCCGGCTGGCCCCTGCTCGATCGATCGACCGGCAGGGGCGACGACGATCGACGACTGCGAGCGACGAGGACGACGACGAGTGCGAGCGACGACGGACGACGGCGAGAGACGACGGCGACGGCGGGCGACGACGCTGACGGACAACGGCGACGACGACGACGAGCACGACGACGGCGACGACGGTGACGACGACGACGACGGCGAGCGACGACGACGACGGACAACGACGACGACGATCGTCAATGATGACGAAGTCGACGACGACGACGCTGACGACGACGACGACGACGATCGACGACGACGATCGACGACGACGCCGATGATAACGAGCGATGCCGACGACGACGACGACGACGACGACGAGTGACGACGACGGCGACGGCGACGAAGGGTGACGACGACGATGACGAGCGACGACGATGACGACAGGGAGCGACAACGACGACGAGAGATGACGACGACGACCGACGATGACAGACGACGACGAGCAACGACGTGCGACAGCGACGGAGGTGACGACGAAAACGACGAAGACGACGACGACGACGACGACGACGACGACTGCGACGACGACGACGACGACGACGACGACGAGCGACGACGACGACGACAGACGACGACGACGAGAGACGACGACGACGAAGCTGATGACGACGACGATGACGGCGACGGACGACGACGACGACGACGACGACGAGCGATGACGACGACGTCGACGACGACGACGACGACATCGACGACGAGTGACCACGACGACGACGACAAGCGACGACGTCGACGAGCGACGACGACGACTACGACGACATCGAGCGACGACGACGCCGACTGCGGCGAGGATGAGCGACGACGGCAACGACGAGGACGACGAGCGTCGACGACGACGAGCGACGACGAACGAGGACGACGACGACGACTACGACGACGACGAGCGACGACGACTACGACAAGCAACGACGACGTCAACAACGATGACGGCGACGACGAGCGACGACGACGACGGCGAGCGACGAAGACGACGATTACGATGACGACAACGACGATGAGCACTTTGACGACGACGACGATGACGACGAGCGACGGCGACAACGACGACGAGCTACGACTACGACGACGACGACGAGGGACGACGACGACGACGACGACCATGGCGACGACCATGATGACAACGCGACGATGACGACGACGAGCGACGACGACGACCGACGTCGAGTGCTGACGACGACGAGGGGCGACGACGACGATGATCATGGTGACGACGACGACGGCGAGGGACGACGACGGCGACGACGAGCGACGGCAGCGACGACGATCGACGTCGACGACGACGACGAGAGATGACGACGACGATGGCGACGACGACGACGACGATTGCGACGACTAAGACGATGACTGACGCCGACGACGAGCGACGACGACGACGACGACGACGAGCGACGCCGACGACGACGAGAGGTGACGACGACGATGACGACGACGACGATGGCGACGACTAAGACGATGACTGACGCCGACGACGAGCGACGACGACGATGGATGGTGACGACGACTACAAGGACGACGACGACCACGACAACGACGAAGACGACGACGAGGACGACTACAACGACCACTACGACGACGACGAAGGGCGACGACGACGACGAGCGACGACGACGACGGCGACAAATGACGACGACAACGACCACGACGACGACTACGACGACGACGACGACAAACGACGACGACGACGTCAATGGTGACGGCTACGACGAGCGACGACGACGACGACGATGAGCGGCGACGACGACGACGAGACATGGCGACGGTCTCTGACGGTCTCTGACGTGGTGCGAGCGGTCGGGCCGCCCGCGCGAGCTGCGCGCGCTCCCGCTGCGCCCGCGCCGCTCAACCTTCAACCCAGCCCGCGCTGGTTTCTGACCCCTGGCCGCCCTGCCTCGCAGGCCAGCCTCGCCCACCTCGCCGGCACCCTCCTCAGGCCGCCCTGCCTCGCACGGCTGCCCTGCTGGGCCCTCTGCCTCGCAGCTGGCCCGCCACCCGTCCTCAGGCTGCCCTGCCTCGCACGGCTGCCCTCGCCTTCGGCCTGGCGCGCCCTCCGCGCACAGGCCGAGACCTCGCGCTGCCCTCATCAGCGCGGGACCTCGCCCTCGCCGCCTCCTCGGTGCAGCCGTCTGCCGCCTCCCTGGCAGCCTCCGCCTTGGCCGCACGCGCCCTCCTGCCTAGGGCCAGGAGGCCCTCCTCGTCGACGCCGTACGCCTTGACGACGTCCTGCAGGGGCTTCAGCGGCAGAGTGCCGCCGTATGCCCCCTGGTCTCCTCGCCCTTCGCCTCCTCCTGGTCGTGGCCTCCTCCCTGGGGCAGGCTCCTGCACCTCCTGCAGCTCGCCAGCCGCTGCCTCCAGTTCCTGCCACAGGTCTCCGCCGGCGCCCTCCTTGAAGTCGCACCTGCACGCCCCCCTCGACGGCAGCGGGTGCAGCCCCTTCCTCTGTCTCCTGAGCTGCTCCTTGCAGCCCCTCTGCTCCCCTCTGCACTCCTGGAACAGGAGCTCTCCTCTCCTCTTCCTCACCTGCAGGTGGCCCTGGGCGCCATTCGCCCCGCACCCCTGCACGCGAGCCCCCTCTCGCCCTGCTCGCTCTCGTACTCCACGAGGTGGTGGCCCAACCAGCGGATGACCGGCCTGAGCGCCTGACTCGCCGCCGCGCCTCCTCCAGCCGCACCCTCGTCCTTCTGGTTGGCCGCCTCCTCCTCCTCTTCCTTCTTGGCCTCGTCGTAGGCCTCCTGCAGCCCTGGGGGCATCTCGTCCAGCTCGATCATCGTCTCGCTTGGGATGCCCTCCGCGTCCGGCGCCTGCGACTGCCACCAGACTGAGGACTGCCCGATCCACCGCGCCGTCTGCTTCGCCAGGGAATGAGCTCCTTCCGCCGCCAATGCACGCTCGGGCCAATGGCCCCACATGCTGGCCCCCTCCTTTGCGTGGCGGTCGGCCTCCTCATTTCCATCTCGCGTCCACCTTTCGGTCTCCGTCACGCACTCCGACTTCGACCTGTGCGCCTTGACCTTCGTCACGTGCACGCCCTCCTGGCCGCCGAGCTCGCTCCACCACCTCTTCCACAAGTGCCTCCTCGCCGCACCTTTTGCCAGCGCCTTGCCGACATCCGTCGCCTGACGGATCGAGCCCGAGCAGTCGCTGCACACCTCCAGCGGCGCCTGGGAGCAGCTCGCCAAGTAGTGGAACGCGTAGTCCTCGCCGTCCCTGGCCAGCTGCAAAGGGCCCCAGGCCATCGGGACCGTGCCGCACACGGCGCCCAGGACCTGGCCCCCTTCGCTGTACTGCACGATCGCCCAGCCTGCCCTCCTCAAGATCTCGTCCGCGGGGTCCGTGGCAGACCCGTCTACGAAGACCCTGCCCTGGAAGAACCCGACGACGACGACGACGACGACGACGACGACGACGACGACGAGGACGAGGACGACGACGACGAGGACGACGACGACGACGACGACGACGACGACGAGGACGACGACGACGACGAGGACGACGACGACGGCGACGGCGACGGCGGCTGGCGGCCGGCGGCGGCCAGCGGCGGCCAGCGGCGCATTTCCGCGAGAGGCGGCCCTGCGGTGCGCGCCGCCTGAGCCGGGAGCGGTCGGTCTGCAGGCGGCTTGGGGAGCGGTGCGGAGGGCGGCGGCGACGGTGTTGTCGTCGATGTCGTCGTCGTCGTCGTCGTCGGCGTCGTCGTCGTCGTCGTCGTCGGTGTCGTCGTCGTGCACACCGACGGCGTCATTGCGGTGGTTTGGGATTTTTTCCCAACCATGCGGTGGTTTTGGGTCTTCGTTTTGAAGAGACAGCCTTCCGCGTTTTCCTCCTCTCATTTTATCTCCTCTCCTCCCTCGTCCTCCTCCTTTTCCTCCTCGTCCTCCTCCTCCCTCCTCCCATCCCTGCCTCTGCTCTCCGCGTGTTCACACTGTCGGCACGCCCCTCTCACGTTTCGTGGCCCCACAGGGAGCTCCACCGAATGCCCCAGTGGCTGCGCTCGCATGGCGCCACCGCACCCTTTCGGCACACTCCTGACACGTTTCGTGGCCCCATGGGGAGCTCCATCGAAGGCCCCAGTGGCTGCTCGCATGGCGCCACCGCACCTATTCCGGCACACCCCTCACACGGTTCGTGGCCCCACAGGGAGCTCCACCGAAGGCCCCAGCGGCTGCGCTCGCATGGCGCCACCGCGCCCATTCCGGCACACCCCTCACACGATTCGTGGCCCCACAGGGAGCTCCACCGAAGGCCCCAGCGGCTGCGCTCGCATGGCGCCACCGCGCCCATTTCGGCACGCCCCTCAGACGCTTCGCGGCCTCCGTGCGCGCTGCCCCGCGCTCCATCCCTTTTTGCGGCGCGCTGCCCGTCAGGAGAACATCGTACCCTGCTTTGCTCGCAGCTGCATCTGTCTGGGTCTTCCGTCAGGCTATTCTCAATTTCGGCCACCTGGGGTGCGTGTCGGGCCCTGTGAGCGTCAAGTGCGATCCGGGATAACCAATCTGCTCATGATGGGCCCTGGAGGGGTCAAGGGACTACATTTGACTTCATCGGTTGTCGTCTTGATTGTTGTTGTCGGTGGCGGCTTGGTCGTGGTCGAGGTTGGCGTCGTCGTGCTCGTCGTGCTTATAGCCCTCGGCGTCGTCATCTTGCTCGTCGTCGGCGTCGCAGCTGGAGCAAGGTGATGTGGAGGAGGAGGAGGAGGAGGAGGAGGAGGAGGAGCAGGAGGAGGAGGAGCAGGAGGAGGAGGAAGGAGGAGGAGGAGGAGAAGTAGAGCGGAGGAGGCGGAGGGGAGGAGGCGGGGAGGAGAGGGAGGAGGAGCGGAGGAGGAGGAGGAGAGGAGGAAGGAGTGAGGAGGAGGGATGAAGGCAGAGGAGGAGGAGGAGGAAGGAGAGGGAGGAGGAGGCAGGAGGAGGAGGAGAACGAGAGGAGGAGGAGGAGGGAGGAGGAGGAGGAGGTAGAGAGGAGGATGAGGAGGAGGAGGAGGATGGAGGGAGAGGAGGAGGGAGGGAGGGTGGGTAGGCGAGGCATGCTGCTTCTTAGGAGGAGTCTTCTTAGTTAGGAGATGAGGCTGCGTCTTCGTCTTCATTCGTCTTCTCTTCTTCTTATTCTTCTTCCTGATCCCTGCTTCTTCGGCTTCTTCTTCTTTCTTCCTTCTTTTTTTTCTTCTTCATAATATGCTTCTTTCTTTTTTTGTCTCGTCTGTCGTGCTGTTCTGCTTCTTCTTCTTCTTCTTCGTCCTTCTTCGGCCTCTTCTTTTCTTCTTTTTCTTCTTTCTCTTTTTCACTGCAGCGTCTGTCTTCTCTTCTTCGTCCTTTCCTTCTTTTCTCTTCTTCCTCCGCTTCTTCTTCGTCTTCGATGCTTCTCCCCTTGTTTATGCGTATCGTGCGTCGTGCGTCGCATGGGCGGGGGGTCCCGCTCGCGAGGGTGGTGCAGCTGTGGCGCCTCTGCGGGGGTCTCGCTCTGCGATTGGTGAGGGGTGTCGCGCGAGGAAGTTGCGCCGCACCGGGGGTGGGTGGGGTTCGTTCCGCGAGGGTTCGCGCCCCCAGGCGCTGGAGGGCGGAGTGCGGGGCAGTAGCTGCAGCAGGAGGGTGCCTGCTAAAGAAATGCAGTTATTGGGTTGGCAGGATGGGGCCGGGAGAATTGTTCAGAGCACCCGTATGATCGCGCATGTGGAGCGTGTTTATTTAGCAGTCGTGCTTAGTATCGTCCCAACCACTTCCCCCCAACACGATAATTGTCTTTGTCGCTGCTGCCATCAACCCTCGACCCCTCCCTGAGATCCGACGTTGCAGCAAAATGCAACATCGCAAAACAACCACGACCGGAGCCCCAGACCCCACCTGTTTGCTTCATCCTTCGAGCCCGATCGATGTGCGAGGGCCCCGGGGCCCGGAGCTCAGCGAGAACGCCCAGCGTGAACAAAATTGCAGCTCCACGATCGCAGGGCTCGATCCTCGATTCCTCGATCCTCGATTCCTCGATCCTCGATGCTCGATCCGTCTCCGCCTCCATGCTCGATCCTCGATGCTCGATCCTTCTCCTCCTAGCTTCCTCGATCCTCGATTCCTCGATCCTCGATGCTCGATCCTCCTCCTCCTCGCGCTCGTCCTCCCGCGGGCGTGCTGCACGCCACCCGCTCCTCCGCTCCCCCTCGGGGAGCAGCCCCGCGGGGGCTCGATCTCCGCCCCCCCGCGGGGAGCCATCCACGTCTCCCTCCGTGGAGGCCGCCTCGAATTCCCCTCCCCCTCCTCCTCCTCCTCCTCCTCCTCCTCCTCCTCCTCCTCCTCCTCCTCCTCCTCCTCCTCCCCTCCTCCTCCTCCTTCTCCTCCTCCCCCTCCTCTCCTCCCTTCCTCCTCCTCCTCCCTCCTCCTCCTCCCCCTCCTCCCCCTTCTCCTCCTCCAATCCTCCCCTCCTCCTCCTCCTCCTCCCTCCACCTCCCCGCTCCTCCTCCTCCTCTTCCTTCCCACTTCCTCGTCCTCCTTGACCTCCTCCTCCTTGACCTCCTCCTCCTCCTCCTCCTCCTGCTCCTCCTCCTCCTCATCCTCCATTTCCTCCTCTTCTTCTTTCCTCCTCCTGCTCCTTCTCCTCCTCCTCCGCCTTCTCCTCCTCCTCCTCCGCCTTCTCCCCTCCTCCTCCTCCTCGTCCTCCTCCTCCTCCTCCTCCTCCTCCTCCTCCTCCTCCTCCTCCTCCTCCTCACACACCACCTCAAGCGACGAGCCGCTCCATGACCACACGCGCCTCAACAGTTGCTGCTGGACGTTCAGCCTGGACATCCTGCTCCTACCGCGTCTGTGCGTCCTCACAGGCTGAGTCCTCATTATGATGCGAGTAATGTGCCTGGTGACCATAATTCACCTGTGCTTGGTCCTCCTGCGTTCGATCATCCGCCCGTAATCGGTCCTCCTCCTCCTAACCTTTCCTGCACTGGGCCCTCCACCTGCACTGGGTCCTCCACCTGAATTGGGTCCTCCACCTGTCCATGCTGCGCGCCAAGGGAGCGGTGAGGCGAGTCCTGCCGCTGCTGTCGTGGACCCTGCGGTGTCTCGTTATGTGCCCGAAGTTCCTGGCCTCTTGCCTACGACGTCGGAGGCGCTTCAGGACGCCGTCGATACCCTTGTCCGAGCGGCTGGCGTTCCTCCACCTCTTCTTCCTGGCCAAGAGATTGGTGCTGCTGAAGACCTCGCCGAGCATCTCCATGACCTTCCCGATGCTGCTCAGCATCCTGCCACGCCCCCGACTTTCCTCAATGACGAGCAGCTTGCCCGCGCGCTTGCTCTTCTGGATTGTCAAGCTCTTTCTCCCGACCAGCGTGAGTTCGTCCGCTGGATGCTCATGAACCCTGGCAATGCCTTCATTCTGGGCCCGTCTGGTGCTGGCCCATTCGTAGTCAACTCCGATGAGACCGACCCGCTCTTCCTGGAGCTGGCTGACCTCGAGAACGCGGCGGCGGATCCCAATACCGATGACCACGACTTCGGCACCGCTGCTGCCGCCTTCCCCGGCTTCTGCCCGTCGGGCGCCGCCCACCTCTTCGAGCCTCTCGAGTGCGACGCCACCGGCAAGATCAGAATCGACCTCACCGTCTCCGACACCGACGACCGCCTGGATAACTTCAACACGAGCTTGAGTGGCTCGGCGCAGGCGCGGCCGTACGTAGGCAAGGAGGGGTTGCCTTGGGACGCTCGCTCCTCCTCCTCCTCCTCCTCCTCCTCCTCCAATCCTCCAATCCTCCAATCCTCCAATCCTCCTCCTCCTCCTTCTCCTCCTCCTCCTCCTTCTCCTCCTCCTCCTTCTACTCCTCCTCCTCTCTCCCCTTCCTCCCTCTCCTCCTCCTCCTCCTCCTTCTCCTCCTCCTCCTCCTCCTCCTTCTACTCCTCCTCCTCCAATCCTCCGCCTCATCCTCCTCCTCCTCCTCCTTCTCCTCCTCCTCCTCCTTCTCCTCCTGCTCCTTCTCCTCCTCCTCCTCCTCTGCCGCGCCGATGCAGGTGCTCATCAGTATGCCCTCTCCTGGCAGCACCAGCGGGAAGAACACCATCGAGGTGGACCTGAACCGGCCCATTTTGCTCGTGCTGCCGCAGTGGCTCCTCATCGGAATGGGGGAGAGGAGGGGGACGAGAATCAGAGGAGGAAGAGGTACCCGTACTACTACCCCTTCCTCGTTGCCACGGCGGGAATCGCTTCGAAATCCCGGTCAGAACGCGCCCCGGGAGAGGTACGTGGAGTATCAGCACCGCTTATCTTGACGATATCTCAGACGAAAGGGATGAGATGGGGGCGGGAGAGGAGGTGGAGGAATGAGGAGGAGGAGGAGGAGGAGGAGGAGGAGGAGGAGGAGGAGGAGGAGGAGGACGGAAGGAGGTTCGCCACTATGGGGGTCACCACCACCTCCTGGAAATCTGCGGCCGAGGGGGAGGGGCGGAGGTTTTGGACGTCTTTGGGCGTGTTTGGGGGCCTTTGAGGGCTCTAGAAGGCCTAGGGGGTCCGTTGCCTGGAGGAGGCGGCGACCCCCCAGTGTCGTAGTGGTGACCCCCCAATCCCACTTCCTCCTGCTCCTCCCCCTCCTCGCCTCCTCCTCCTCCTCCTCCTCCTCCTCCTCCTCCTCCTCCTCCTCCTCCTCCTCCTCCTCCTCTTCCAATCCAAACCAAACCCATCCGGTTCAATCCAGTCCACTCCAGTCCAATCCAAGCCAATCCAGGCAAATTCTCCTCCTCCGCCTCCTCCTCCTCCTCCTCCACTTCTCCCCCTCTCCCGCCAATCTTCCTCTCCCTCCCATCCTCCTCCTCCTCCTTCTCTTCCTCCTTCTCCTCCTCATCCACTCCTCCAATCCTTTTCCTCCCGCAGTCATCCGGCTTTGGGTTTCCCATAATTCGGAACGATGGGTAAACGGGAATCAGCACAAGAAAGCTGTTCTGAATGGTGATTCGATTCCACATTTCCGAACTATGGAAAGACATGCTCGGACGACTGCCGGGCCCACCCCCCGTATCCCCAAATTTCTGACGTCGAGTCATGGGATCACCACAAAAGCCCGTATTTGCTCATGGTGTTTCCAGGTTTCCCGTAATTCGATCCCCCCTCCCGGGGGCCTCTCGGCCTTTCCCCCCTCGGTTTCCCGAATTTCGGAAATTAGAATCATGGGAACGTTGGCATTACCACGAACATCTTTTTCCCTGTCGTGAATCCATGCTTCTCAAGATTCCGACTTAATGTGAAACCCATGGAGGACGATTGCCAGGAACCCTTTGGTTTCGCGAAATTCGGAATTCGAAATTATGAGAAGCTTGGAATCACCAAACACACACACACAAACACAAACATACACAGACACACACAGACACACACACACACATGTTGTTGTTGTTGTTGCTGCTGCTGCTGCTGTTGTTGTTGTTGTTGTTGTTGTTGTTGTTGTTGATGCTGTTGTTGTTGTTGTTGTTGTTGTTGTTGTTGTTGTTGTTGATGTTGCTGTTGTTGTGAGTCCAGGTTGCCCATGATTCGGCACGCACACACACATGTTGGTGTGAGTTCAGGTTTCCCATAATTCGGAATTCTGGGTGGAACCAAGCCCAAACAAATTATGTTTTTCGTGGTGACTCCAGGTTTCCCGCAATTCCTCCCCCCCAGGGGCCTCTCCCCCCCTTTTTTCCGAAATTCGGAATTCACATTATGGGACGCCTAGAGTCACCACGAACATTTTTTGTGGTGATTCCAGGTCTCCTTTAATTCCAAATTCTGGAAAACCCATGGCCGGACGACTGCCGCGGACCCTTCGGTTTCCCGGAATTCTGAATTCGAATGCTGGGGAACTTGGAATCATCACACAACCGCCTCCTTTCTGGTGTGACTCAAGGTTCCCCATAATTCGGAATTTGGAAACACCAAAAAAGGCAAGCTTGTCGTTGTGATTCCAGGTCTCCTTTAATTCGACCCCCCCAGGGGCCTTTCCCCCCCCCAGTTTCCCGAAATTCGAATTCAAGTTATGGGAAGCCTGAAATCACCATGATTTTTTGTTTGGGGGGATCCCAAGATCCTCACAATTCCAAATAATGGGTACCCATGGACAGACGACTGCCGGGGATCCCCCGGTTCCCCGAAATGTGGATTTCGAACAATGGGAAATTTAGAATCACCATTAAGAAAAAACGCAGTTTCGGTTGTTATTCCAGGCTTCCCCGATTTCTGAGTGCAAGGAACCCGGAATCACCAGCAAAAAAGGAATCACCACCAAAAAATGGCATCACCACAAGAATCTGGAGTCACCAACACATGTTGTTGTGATTCCAGATCCCCCACAATCCCCAATTCTGGGAAGCCCATGGCTGGACGACTGCCAGGGGCCCGGTTTCCCGAAATCTGAGGTTCGAATCATGGGAGATGTGGAATCACCACAACCCTCCTTTTGTCGTGATTCCGAGTTTCCCATCATTCGGAAGTATGGGGCACCTCCAAAAAAGTGGCTTCCCGTGGTGATTACAGGTTTCCCGTACTTCCCCCCCCCCCGCATGGGCCTCTCCCCCTCTCGGGAAGCTTGGGATCACCACAACAAAAATCATTTTTGTACAGTGATTCCAGGTTTCCCATACTTCAGGATTATGGGGCACTCATGGCCGGACGACTGCCGGACACCCCTGGTTCCCGGGAAATTTTGAATTTTGATTGGGGAAACCTAGAGTCAACATAAACACATTTTTTGTGGTGATTCCACATTCCCCATAAGTCAGAATTCTGGGAAAATCATGGCCCAGAATCCGAATTCAAAATCAATCGCGAATTCGAATTATGTGCAACCTAGAATCACCAGGAAACCTTTTTTTTGTGTGGTGATTCCAGGTTCACACCCCCGGGGCCCTCTCCTCCGGGGCTTCCCGAAATTCGGAATTCGAATTATGGGAATACCCTGGCCGGACGATTGCCGGGTACCCTCTGGTTGCTTTCCCGAAGTTCGGAGTTCGAATCATGGGACATTTGGAATCACAACAAAAAACCATCCTTGTTGTGGTCATTCCAGGTTTCCCGCAATTTCACCCCCTCCTAGGGGCCTTTCCTCCCCGGCTTCCCGACATTCGAATTCCGAAGTTTGGACAATTGTGAGAGGCAAGGCTCCTCCGAGGTGCCTTCACATGGCTAGATTGCAGCCCCTCCAGTCCTCCTCCTCCGCCTCCTCTTCGTCCTACTCCTACTACTCCTCCTCCCCCTCCTCCTTCTTCTCCTCCTCCTCCTCCTCCTCCTCCCCCTCCTCCTCCTCCTCCTCCTCCTCCTCTTTCCCCTCCTCCTCCTCATCATCTTCCTTCTTCTCCTCCTCCTCCTCCTCCTGCTCCTCCTCTTCCTCCCCTTCCTCCTCCTCCTCCTCTCCTCCTCTTCCTCCTCCCCCTCCTCCTTCAATCCTCCTATCCTGCTCCTCCTCTTCCTCCTTCTCTTCCTCCTTCTCCTCCTCCTCATCCCCCCCTATCCTCCTCCTCCCCCCTGATCCTCCTCCTCCTCCTCCACCTCCTCCTCCTCCTTCCTCATTCTCCTCCTTCTCCTCCTCCTGCTCCTCCTCGTCCTCCTCCTCCTCCTTCTCCTCCTCCGCGAGGTACTGGAGATGTGCCAGGAATGGTGTCGGGGGGAACCTGAGTTGTTTTAACGCAGCCGCATGCGGGGACCGCCACCATTTTTGACACACCCCTCACATGGTTCGTGGCCCCACAGGGAGCTGCACCGAAGGCCCCAGTGGCACAGGCCGCAAGCGGGGAGGCCCCAGTGGCACAGGCCGCATGCGGGGGCCGCCACCCATTTTGGCACACCCCTCACACGGTTCGCGGCCCCACAGGGAGCTCCACCGAAGGCCCCGTAAGGAGCTCCCCTTTCTTCGTCCGAGCTGACCTGCGGTACTCACACCTGCATGTGTATGGGTCCTTCGTCTGGATAATTCCACTGTAGCGTGCCGCGCTGGAGGCCGCGCAAGCCACCGCGCAAGGTGGCCATGACATCTCACGGAAGACTCGTTTCCGGCAATTCCGTAGCCTCTGGCCCAAGACGCGCAGACGCGGCGGCCGCGGCGGCAGCTCCGCGGGCAAGCCGATGTCAGCGCCGGAGGCCGCGGACCTGCAGGAGACGCCGCTGCGCGCGGCCTTCCTGGGGCCGGTGCCGCACAGCCTGCTGGGGATCTGGCAGTTCGCGGGGCCTGCGTGCTGCTTCAAGGGCTCCACGCTCGCCCGCGGCGCTGGCCCTCAGCGGAGGAAACGGTTGCGACACGCATCGCCACCCTTGCCTCGTCTTCGCCTCTGGGGGGCCTCCTGGGGGGAGGCCCTTGTCGCCACGACTGGACTCGCTCCGAGATCCTGGTCAGAGCACACCCTGGGAGAGGTCCAGTGGGTAGCGGTATCGGCACCTCTTGGTCCCCCCAAGGTACGGTGGAGGCGCGCGGGCGGAGGCGCCTGGACGGCGACCCCCGCAAGTCCTACGAGCTGCCGTGGGAGGACTGGTGGCCCGCGCTCGGCAGGTGCGACCTGCTCTCTCAGCTGGGCGCCCCCCGCGCCGACGCCGCCCTCAGCCTCGACCGCATCGCCGCGCTGCTGCACGCCCGGCCGGAGCTGGCGAACACGCCGACCACCGCCGGCAGGCCCATCGCGGCGGCCGTGCGCATGGGCCGCCGCGACGTCGCCGAGCTGCTGCGGCGCCGCGGCGCCGCGCTGGGCGGGCGCGCCGCGGACGAGCTGCTGTACGAGGCCGCCAAGCGCGGGCACGAGGCCGCGGCGGCCATCCTGCTGCTGGACGGCCGTGGCGAGGTGCGCCGCGAGCCCTGGGCCTGTCCCAACGCCACGCCGGTGCGGCACGGCGGCACCCCGCTTGACGTGGCGACGCTGAGCGGGCGGCACAGGTGCGCGGAGCTGCTCGCCGCGGCGGGCGGGCGGCACTCGCTGCACTGGGCCGCAGAGCACGCGCTGCCCGAGCAGCTGGCGCTGTGGCTCTCGGAGGGCTCCTGCGCGGACCAGCGCGACGGCAGCGGCGCCACGCCGCTGCTCCTCGCGGCGCGGGGCGGCGGCCCTCCTCGCGGCGCGGGGCGGAGCGCCGCCGGCCCTGCCGCGGGCGCGGAGAGCCCACGGTTGCGGACCGTGCGGTTGCTGCTGGAAGCGGGCGCGATGGTCAACGCGCTGCCGATAACCTTGGAGACTCCGCTGCACGTGGCCGCGGCGCGGGGCAGCGCGAGCTGCTGCGAGCAGCTGCTGGCCGCCCGAGCGGACCTCGCGCTACGCGACCGGGAAGGGCGCACGCCGTTGGAGCGTGCCCTGAACGACGAGGTTCGCTGCCTCCTGGCGGCCTGGATGCCAGACGCTGGGCGAGGGTGCGGCCGCGTGGCGCGGGAGGTGTACGACGGCATTGGCGACGTGTCCGCGCTGGCGAGCACCAGTCATGAGCTGCCAATGGTGCCGTGGGCATCACCGGTCGCCGCGGCGCACCGCTCCTCCTGGGCCGCCCCGTGGGAGGATGGCTGCCGTGCTGCGCCGGTGGGCTGCCGCGGAGCTGGCGCCCACCAGGTTCACGGCCCCGACCGCAGCGCCCGCGGCGGCGCGGGCGGGGCCCCGCCAGGCTCGGTTGGGGTGGGCGCGCGGCAGCTTGCAGCGCGGGCGGCAGCTGCGCGGCGACCGCGCTGATGCTCGTCGTCGCCAGGCTGACGCGATGACCCTGCTTCTGGGCGCCACCCGCTGCTGGTGAGCGGCATGCAGCTCCCCGCCGAGAATCAGTGCCAGCCAGCGTGGGCCCCAAGCAGTGAAAATGTGTTTGCACCACGGAGCTGGGATATCGGCGGTGGGGAGGTGAGATCGCAGTGGAACGGAGAGCCCCCCAGACTGCAGTACCATTGTTGCAGCAGCCAGGCTGTAGTACTAGCATATCCTTCTGCGTCCCATGTGCGGCGCGGGGCGGGCGAGGTTCATGGACCTCTCCACGTGGTCCCTGTCTGGCTACCAGCACAGTGCGCTCGCCACAGCGACCGCTCCGTCCAGACCGCTCGCGGAGCTCTCCCCGCACCAGCCGCCCGCAGGGGCGCCGCAGTACATCGTGGTGCCACCGAGGGAGGGGGAGGGGGAGGGGGAGGGGGAGAGGAGGGAGGGGGGGAGGAGGGGGGGAGGGGGGAGGGGAGGGGAGAGGGAGAAAAAGGGAAGGGGAGGAGGGGAGAAGGGAAGAGGGGGAGAGGAGAGAGGAGGAGGCGGAGGAGGGAGGAGGAGGAGGGAGGAGAGGAGGAGGAGGAGGAGGAGAGGGAGGAGGAGGAGAGGGAGGAGGAGGAGGAGGGAGGAGGAGAGGACGGACAATATCCTCAAGAGTCATCAACGATATTGCAGTGAGCCCTCCCTCCAAGGTCCCTCGTCACAGGTTCCTACGAGGATCCATTTTCACTGAGGGAAATGCCTAGTTGTAAGACGACCGTTTGAAAATCCTGAGCTGTGCCAGTGTACCAGTCCTGGGATTCAACGCCGCGAATCACCGTTACTGTTACCTCTAAACGATCGTGAACCGTGCCAGAAAAGGTTTCCTGGCACTTCAATACAGCGAATTCAAGTGATTGCTGCGCCCTGACAGTCCCAAATCGTGCCCAAATGCCATTCTGGGACGTTCGCCATGAGAGTTTTCGAGACTGCTGTGAACTCTAAAAACAAAACTGAATGTGCGCAGCGCTCGGTCGAGTGCTACATTTTGAACAGGAGCCTCCCTCCATCCGGGCAGCTCTTCTATTTCCCAAACGTCCTGTGGTGTTGGGTCCTCGTTTCGAAGAGGCATCCCCCCGCGTCACTCACTCCCTCCCGCTCCCCCTCCTTTCTCCTCCCTTCCCTGCTACTGCCCTCCGCGTGTCCAGTTCGACTCATCCCTCACACGTTTCGTGGCCCTACAGGGAGCTCCACCGAAGGCCCCAGTGGCACCGTTCGCATGCGTTCGCGCCGGCCATTCCGGCCTCACACGTTTCGTGGCCCTGCAGGGGGCTTCAGTGGAGGCCCCAGTGGCACCGTTCGCATGCGTCCGCGCCACCGATTCCGGCGCACCCCTCCCACGCTTCGTGGTCCCATAGGGAGCTCCGCCGAAGGTCCCAGTGGCACCGTTCGCACGCGTCCGCTCCACCCATTTCGGCACACGTTTCGTGGTCCCGTAGAGAGCTCCACTCAAGGCCCCAGCGGAACCGTTCGCATGCATCCGCGCCACCCATGTCGGCACACCCTTCACACGTTTCGCGGCCCCAGAGGGAGCTCAACGCATGCGTTCCCCCCCGCCCATTTCGGCACACCCCTCACACCTATTCGTGGCCTTATAGGGAGCTTCACCGAAGATGACATTGACAACCCACTCACGCGTTTCGTGGATCCGTAGGGAGCTCCACCCAGGGCCCCAGTGGTGGTGTTCACATGCGTCCCCCCACCCATGTCGGCATACCCATCACACGCTTCATGGCCCTATAGGGAGCTCCACCGAAGATAATACCGACAAGTGCTTTATTCACAGCTTATTACGTATGGTGGGGTCCTTCGCCAGGCCAATTTTCCCAACCGTTCTGTGGTGTTGGGGCTTCTTTTTGAGAGACGGCGCCCCGCACCTTAACTCACGTCCCTCCTGCTGCCCCTCCCTCCTCCCTTCCCCGCTTCACCATCACCACCACTACAATCCGTAAAATTTCTCGGCATTCCCCTCACACCTTCCGTCGCCCCATAGAGAGCTCAACCGAAGGCACCATTGAGACGGTTCGCGCGGCTTCACCGCCCCCATTTCGACACACCATTCACACGTTTCGTGGCCCCATACGGAGCTCCACCGAAGGCCCAAGTGGGAGGGGTTCGCATGGCGCAACCGTACCCGTTTCGGCCCACCCCTTACGCGTTTCGTCGCCCCATCGGGAGCTCCACCGAAGGCCACAATGGCAGGGACCGAATGACGTCACCGCACCCATGTCGGCATTCCCATCACACATTCCGTGGTCACTTGAGGAGTTCCACTGAAGGGTCCGGTGGGAATGTTCGCATGGCTCCACCGCACCCGTTTCGGCACACTCCTCACACGCGACGTGACCCCATAGGGAGCCCCACCGAAGGTTCCGTTGGGAGAGCTCGCATGCGCCATCGCACTCATTTCGGCAGACCCATCACACGCTTCGTCGCCCCACACGCAGCTCCACCGAAGGGCGCCACCGCACGCGTTTCGGAACACCCTTTGCACGCTCCTTGGCCCCATAGGGAGATCCACCGAAGGCCCCAGTGGGAGGGTTTGCATGACGCCACCGCACTCATGTCGGCATTCCCCTCACACGCTTCGTGGCCCCATACAGGGCTCTACCAAAGGCCCCAGTGGAAGGGTTTACATGGCCCCACCGCGCCCGTTGCGGCATACCGCTCACGGGTTTCATGGCCCCATAGGGCGCTCTACCAAAGGCCCCCGCGGGAGGGTTCGCATGGCGCCGCCGCGCAAATCCCAGCACACCCCTCACACGTTTCGTAGCCCCAGAGGGAGCTCCACCGAAGGCCCCAGTGGATTGGTTCGCATGGCGCCACCGCACCCGCTTCGACACACGGCCCCATACTCAGCTCCACCGAAGGCCCCGGTGGGAGGGTTTCAATGACGCCACCGCACCAATTTCGGCACACCCCTTACACAATTCGTGGCCCCATAGAGAGCTCCACCGCAGGCCCCAATGGGAGGGTTCGCATGGCGCAAACGCACCCATTTCGGCCCACATGTTGTTGCACGCTTCATCGCCCCTATGAGCTCCACCGAAGGCCCCAGGGAGAGGGTTCGCATGGCACCACCGCGTTCATTTCAGCACACCCCTCACACGCTTCGTGGCCCCATAGGGAGAACCATCGAAGGTGCGATGGACAACTGTGGTACTCACAGCTGCATGTGGCTGGGTCCGTCGCCAGGCGAATTTCAGAGGAGAGCTCGCGGCGCCAGGACGAGAGACCGACTTCGAGAAGGCACCGCCTTCCATCTGTGACGCCCTTGCACATGTTTACCAAGAATGTGCGCGGAGCATACGCAATTACGCTACCGAGGAACCCCATACACTTGCGAGAATGATGCTGGTGGCCGCTGCCCCGCCGATACCTCTGATGAAGCTTGTCAAGCCTTGGGAGACGGATACCGCGGTGAGGGATCCCCCCCTGCGCACCCCCTATGGTGTCGAGAAAGTGCCACGCCTGCTGTGCCTGGACGATTGGGGCGTATAGAGACCGTGGTGAGGGACCACGCCTTGCGCATCCTCTATGGTGTCGAGAAAATGTCACGCTTGCTGTGCCAGGGCGACTGGGGCGTGGAGACACTGCGGTGGGAGATCACCCCCTGCGCACCCCCTATGGTGTCAAGCAGGTGCCACGCCTGCTGTGCCTGGACGACTGCACCCCCTTGCGCACCCCCTATGGTGTCGAGAAAGTGCCACGCCTGCTGTGCCTGGACGACTGGGGCGTATAGAGACCGCGGTGGGCGATCACCCCCTGCGCACCCTTATGGTGTCAAGAAGGTGCCACGCCTGCTGCGCCTGCACGACTGGGGCGTGCGCGATGAGAGACCACCCCTCGCGCACCCCGTATGGTGTCGAGAAAGTGCCACGCCTGCTGTGCCTGGACGACTGGAGCGTATAGAGGCCGTGGTGAGAGATCATCCCTTGCGCACCCCTACGGTGTCAAGAAAGTGCAACGCCTGCTGTGCCTGGACGATTAGGGCGTATATGGACGGCGGTGAGAGACCACCCCCTGCGCACCCCTAGTGGCGTCGAGGAAGTGCCACGCCTGCTGTGCCTGGACGACTGGGGCGTACAGAGACCGCGGTGAGAGATCACCCCTTGCGCACCCATGGTGTCGAGAAAGTGCCGCGCCTGCTGTGCTTGGACCACTAGGGCGTATATCGACGGCGTTGAGAGACCACCCCCTGCGCACCCGTGTGGTGTCGAGACAGTGCCACGCCTGTTGTACCTGGACGATTCGGGCGTATAGAGATTCTGGTGAGAAATCACCCCGTGCGCACCCCCGAGTGACGTCGAGAAAGTGCCACGCCTGTTGTGCCTGGACGACCGGGGCGTATACAGACGGCGTCGAGGTTCCACCTTTTACGAACCCCGTACGGCGTCGAGAAAGTGCCGCGCCTGCTGTGCCCAGCCGACTGGGGCGTATAGGGTCCGCAGTGAGAGACCACCCAATGCGCACCCCTGTGGTGTCGAAAAAGTGCCACGCTTGCTGTGCCTGGACGACTGGGGCGTGGAGAGACCGCGGTGAGAGATCACCCCCTGCGCACCCCCTATGGTGTCGAGAAAGTGCCACGCCTGCTGTGCATGGACGACCAGGGCGTGAAATATCACCCCTCGCGCACCCCCTATGGTGTCAAGAAAGTGCCACGTTTGCTGTGCCTGGACGATTGGAGCGTACAGAGACCGCGGTGAGAGACCACCGTCTGCGCACCCCGTATGGTGTCGAGACAGTGCCACGCCTGCTGTGCCCGGACGACCGTGCGCATACGTTTTGGGTGTATGATGCAGTGAACGCGCCAGACGTGCACTGGCGGTGTATGTAGTGTGTGTGTGTGTGTGCGCGTGTGACTGCATGTTTGTTTTGTGTTACGTGTGCCTTGTGCAGGTGTATGATATGTGTGTGCGGCTGTCTTGTGGACGCGTGTCTCAATGTGAGTGGTGTGTGATGTGTGTACGGTTGTTGGTGGGCGTGCGTATCATGTGGATGCCCAGTCTGTGGCGCATGCGTCTTGATGTATGGTACAGTAGACACGCGAGGCGCACACTGGCGTTGTAGGGAGTGTGTGCGAGTGTAGGCATGTGTGCGGCTGCATGTAGACGCGTGTCTCATGTACGTGGCGCGCATGTGTTGCGCGTGGGTGAGGTGAGAGAGGAAGAAGAGGTGAGGAGGGAGGAGGAAGGGAGGTGAGTGTGTGAGGGAGACGCGGGTGGGACGCGGCAGAGAAGAAAACCATACACCCACTAAACATGTGGTGCATATCCACCTTTTGGAAGCAGCTCGCCTC